GTGATTAAGAGACAAAGTGAAAAGTATACAGTAGGCAATGTGATTATTTTTTAGCCACTTAAATTCAATTATACTCCTCTAGTTAATGGGGATGGAACAGACATTTCATGCTACAGCTACCATGATACACTTCTGGGAACTTGCATACCACTTTTTTAAAGAGCTAAAATGACAAAAATGGAATAAATAACTCATTTTCTATTTTGCTGAACTACAGGACTGCTAAATATTTATAAGACATAATGAAGTCCTGTTATTGAGCTAATATTTTCCCTCTTGAACAGATTTCTCCAGTGGCTGTCAAACATCTTCACATTAACTGTTGCCAAGTGTGAGTTTAACAGCACATCTATAGCTGGGAAAAGAAGATAAAAGTTGTCCACATGATGTTGAGTAAACAAACAGTCCCTTTGCCTCTGAGAAATACTTTCCACTGCACCAGGGAGGCTGGAGGATAACTCAGTATCACTAAGTGGTCACTGTTTTCCAGACTATCCACAAAAGATTCAGCCCTTGAGAACTTGGCTTGCCTATTCTTGTTGCAGGATTTCCAAGGCCACCAGTATGTTCCTCATCAGCACACATCAGTCACAGGGAATTCATGCCTCTCTGCTTGGCACAACCAACCACAGCTCTGTGGTCTAACTCCACGGCATCTCTTGTAGATATCTGATAGAAAATTCAAAGATCTGAGGCTGTTCTAATACAACAAGACTGTGGAAAGATGCCAAAAAGATTTGGTCTGCATTTAGATAACAATTTAAAATAATACAGGTATGAGATTTGTTCTAGCACAGCTACAAACCTATCTTGTAATACACAGGTTACAGGTTCCTCCCTCTAGGAGGATATGACAAACCCTGGAGGTTTATGGTTATGTGTGTGTCCCTGTCCCAGTCCAAAAGTTTCAGAGTGTCTGAGAGGCAGACTGAGGGAAACATCTGGGAAGGGGTAACAAGCTGGCACAAGAATAGAAAATTCTCTGAGAGGCATGGACAGCAGTGAAAGCAGGGATGCCAAGAAACTCCAGTTCTCAGGCAATTACCTGTGTCTGTCTGTCACTATGTCACCTTGTGATGGCCTCCTGCTGGAAAGTCCCTAAGGAAAAGCTCTGAAATGGCAGCATCTTCCCTGAATGTTCCCTCTGCTCTGGGCCTGTGGGCTGGCAGCTCTCACACCCAGAACTGCCCATCTCCTTGGCAATCTTCAGCCTTGCTGCAGCTACATTCTCACAGCTGCAGCCACTGTCCAAACAGCTTCCCAGCAACATCCCCAATTTTAGGCAGTCTTCAGTCTATAAATAAACAAATATCAGACTCAGGAGAGATGGGGAAGGAGAAGACAGCTCTCATAGCCTAAAAGACAAACATGCTGGTGCACTGCTTTAACCCAAAGTCTTGTTATCCTGCTACTGCTCACTCCAGTACATATTAGGCCCTTCCTTCCACCCCTTTCCTGCTGCAATACCTGTGTCAAAGGTCTCCAGAGGGTGCTAAAAAGCAGAAAAGCATTCCCATACCTACTTTAGGAAGTGGCTTGCTTCCTAACCTGGCAGTAAGGAACAGACTGAATGGTACAAATGAAGACTGCAAGTACCCAGACAACCAGAAAAGGAGGAGGCTTAGGGGGACCTCATTGCAGTCAGACTTTCTCACACAGGGAAGCAGAGGGATGGACAATGATCTCTTCTCTTGACAGCTGGTGACAGGACCCAAGGGAACGGCCTCAAGTTGTGTCAGGGGAGGTTTAGGTTGGATATTAGGAAAAAGGTTTTTTTACTTTTTAGAGGGTGGTTGGGCACCAGGGCAGTGGTCCCAGCACCAAGCCAGCCAGAGCCCAAGAAGCATTTGGACAAAGCCGTCAGGCACATGGTGTGGCTCCTGGGGACTGTGACTCCTGCCAGGAGTTGGACTTGATGATCCTTTAGGGTCCCTTCCAAATCAAATCTTCTGTGAACTAAAGGGGGAAAACACTTGATATTCACCAACACCACCTGCTGAAGCGTGTGTGCAGCCAAGAAAGCTGTTCCCAACTATTCAGGTGTTGCGATATTTGAAGGGGATGGTGAAGCTGGCTGCCCTGGGGGTGCCGGGGTGTGCTGGAGGGGGTTCACCCACACCCTGCCCGCCGGGGCTCCGCTGTGCTCAGCCCAGTGCGCCCGGGGACAGCCCCATTTAGGGGCTGGGAACACAAGCCCTGTGAGGAATGGCTGAGGGAGCTGGGGGTGCTCAGCCTGGAGAGAAGGAGACTCAGAGAAGACTTTATCACTCTCTACAACTTCCTGAAGGGTAGTTGTAGTCAGGTGGGGTCGGTCTCTTTCTCCAGAGGACAGAACCAGAGGACACAATCTCAAGCTGTATCAAGGGAGATTTAGGTTGCATGTTAGGAAAAAGTTTTTCACACAAAAGATGATAAAGCTCTGCATGGTCTGCCCGGGGAGGCGGTGCAGTCACCATCCCTGGATGTGTTTAAAAACAGACTGGATGTGGCACTGGGTGCCAGGGTTTAGTTGAGGTGTTGGGGCTGGTTGGACTCGATGATCTTAAGGGTCTTTTCCAATGCATTCTGTGATTCCGCAGCGGTCAGAGCCATCTGCCGGTGCCGCACGGCTCCGCAAGGCATTGGGGAGGCACTGGGGACAGCTCCAGCCTGCCCGGCCCTGGCAGCAGGCACCAAGCAGCCAGGGCGAGGGCTCCGGCTGCGGAGGGCGCCGGGGCGAGCACAGCGGACCCAGCGGTAAAATGAAACTGCTCTGCACTCGTTCTGTTCCAGCAAAAAGCACACAGTGGGGCCCAGGAGAGCCAGGCTGTCCCCAGCTCTTGTCCCAGCCCCTGGGTAGGGGCATGACCGAGTCTGAGAGCTGCGCATGGCACCTTTTGGGCTGCGACCATCCCAGCCACCGTTTCACACTTGCAGAACTAGAGAGTCCTCTATGCTCATCCTCCATCCCTCCCAGTCTCTGAGCATTCCCTGCACAAGATGACGAGGTGCAGACTTTGGAAGTGGGAAATTTATCCATATTTTCAACATGGAAATATCTACTGGCACTGGATATTGCATAGTACTTTTATATCCACTGTCTTTTATTACTATAGACTGGGATCATTAATACAAGCAGCTGCAGCTTTGGAGTTACGAATCTTAAAATTAGATTAAATGAATTGACAATTTATTTTATATTTGTTTTACATGCCCTACAGATCTGTCAAAAACAACAGGTTTCATAAAGCTGTGCAAAAATCAAAGAGGGTGTTCTGTTGCACTACTGTTGCCTCAAGGACATAGCCAATCGTAAAACTGATCCATCAGCTTCAGAATATTACTTCAGTAACTTGCAGTTTTGTTCTCACTCACATCCTGCCACAGGCAGGACACATGTCCAGATTCATCTCCCCCAAAATGCTTCAAATGAAGCCACGTGCAGCAGCTAACAGAGATGGCTGTGGTAGAAGAACCTCTGCTTCCTCTCTCCATCAGTCTCCTTTCCCAGGAGCATGGTTTTGGTGGTGGGAAAATTATTCTGCTCGATTTCATTTGTTTTACTCAGAAATTCTTAGGTCATGGTATGAAACTCACTTGTACCTATCTCAGGAATACTGGGTGAATCACAGATGATTCAGGTTGCAGGCCCCATTTCTAGACAGCATATAAACACCTACAGCACTGCCAGCTGGTCAGTCTGCATATATTTATTTCCCCTATTCAACCCTCAGAAATTCATACATATTTTTTAACTCCCTCATGTCCCAATTGGGAACTACCATGAAATTTGTCTCAGCTGTGACTCAGAGTGTACTTCTGTGACAGCAGTGCTCAGGGATTTCAGCTGATGTCAGAGATGCACAGACAACTTGACAATGATGGGTTTCCATCTGGGATTCCCAAGGAGTAAAGACACAGCTTTTTAAATTCAGCCAGGGAGCTGGTCCTAAGCATTGGGGCAGCACCAGATGCCTGTGACAGCAAGTGATCAAAGCCCTCAATGCTGAGAGAGCAAAGGCAAGGCTCTCAACACCACAACAATAAACAGTTTCCTTATTTCCAGATCAAGCCTCATGACTCTGTGCATGAGCTGTACAAAGTGTCAGAAAACAAACCAGTTTTGCTTGACAAATACTATGACCATTCAACTCTGATGTAATTAGTACAATGTTATTGTCCCTTAATTAGGTAACGCCAGCAGGGTTTAATCGATGGTACAGAGACCTTCTGAGGCAGAAATGGCAGTTTGGCACCCAACTGTGGCTGGCTTTTCCTGGCTAGGTTCCTAACGCCAAACAACTCCTCTGAATTCTGTTTTCCTTATTCCAGCCCAAAGTGCTGTGATAGAGATATCAGCAGTGTTTGGGCAGGCACTGTCAGATGGAGAATTTAAAAACCTGGCAAAGAAACATCTCACAGTTTAATAATCTGTGCAAGTTACATTTTAATTCTGAGAAAGTGTCAGTCATCAGAAACTAAGCAGACATGATACTTCACGTGCATTCCTCATGAAAACACAGCATACTTGTTCTTTAGGAGGATTTAAAGTACAGGAAACTTCTGTCTCTAGAGGCTCATTTAGTTGCTTTAGTGCCTAATTAGCAACCTGAGAGGAATCTCACCATACCCACTGTAGTGCTCTCCAGCACACACAAGGCAGAGTCTATTCCATCTGCAGAAATCTAATTCAAGAGTGTGATAGAGGTGACATCATCATAGGTGAGACAGAGTTCTCACGAGACAACACAATGTTTCTCCATCAAGCACACTATCATTGCAAGGAGTGATCTCTTCTTCACTAAAAAGCTGGCCATGCCTTTAAACAGCACCCTGTTCATCCACTCAGGTAGAAAACAAACCGAAGTATGAAAAGTGCATGAAAGATTCCACTCTAAAGCAGATTCCTGCTGAGACATGGATGCAGCAATCATCATAAACAGGCTAGAATGCTTATCCCACTCAGCAAAGCAGAGCTTAACTCTCTCCTCATGCCCACCCCGGCAGGGCAGCGTACGCACCGGGAGCGGAGACGCGCCGTTTCCAGCCCACGCAGTCCAGGCCTGTCGGCGTGCTCTGGGAAAAGGGATGCAGCTTCAGTGGCAGGATGTCAAAGGCAACAGGAGATGTGGTGGATGGACTTACTCCAGCCTGCAACAGGACAGGGAAAACAAAGGCAACAAACATGAAGTTGAGATGCCCCATAGGAAAAAATTTAGCATTCATCCCAGAGCACCTCTTCCCACCTCTGATACCTGCCCGTGTAAGTAAGCAGTATGTTAGTGGACACACATGGATGATTGTGGCTAGAAATGTTAGGAAACAGTGAGAAGGCAAGGAAAACTGCAAGGTGATAAGAACAGATTCATACTTCACATACAGCCACACACACCTCCATTCACAGAAAGTTTCACTCCTTCCTTTGAAGTGTTTCTAGTGGTGGGGTGAGGGGTTAATATCACTACAAGGAGTCATCCCCTCAGCTGCAGAGCTATTCCTGAACCTTTCTGACTAATAGGTCCTCTTCTGGCATTTAACATGAAAATAAAGCTTTTCCCTTCAGAGATTTATTGGTACCAGTCCCCAACATACAGAATGTGGATAACAACATTTTTCTCTTCAGCTAGAGGTACAAGAAAGAATTCTCACACTCTCCTCTACCTGGCTGATTTTTTAACACTTATAGAACTTAATGAAACTTTGAAAATTCTATACAACTGCCAGATGTCATTGAATTACGAACTTTTGCTGGTTTAAAGGGGAAAACACAGAGACACATACACATAGCTCATGGCTTCTTATACAAAATGTAATAATTAAGACATGTAGTAATTAAGGTATGCTTTCATCCCTTTTTGCCTTTCTCTCTTTTCTCTCCTGTGGCTGCCAGACACAGGAAACATCAGTGGCTGGGAGATCAGCTGGTCAGTAAGCACTGGTCCCTTGGGCACAGCCAGTTTTTCATGTCTATCACTATTGCCCCTTCCTTTTGCCACTGACACTGAGTTACAACATATCCATCCTTCACTGAGCCAGGAACTTGACATACTAAGGTCTGGTATTCTCTCTAGGATCTTTCCCTCTTCCCACCAGCTCACAGCACATCCTATCAGCAGAAAGTCTGCTGACCAGCCTTGATGCTGAAACCTCTCCTGATGGCCATTAGCCAAACCCTCCTTCCAAAACTAACCAGCACACAGTGCTCACACAGCTGAAGGTGCTGCTGCTCCATGCCTGGTTTGGTTTTCTATTCATAGACTTAACTTTCCTAAAACAAAGAGAACACTGCCAATACTTTGGCACAAATCATAATCACCTCTTGAGGAATAGTATGAACCATGTTCAAATTAACCTGAGCAGTGCCTGTTTTACTAGAAAAGCCAGAGCAAAGATCCAGTAGGAACACACACTATTCTGGTGACAATGAAAATCAAGCTTACTGGGCCACAGCTCTGAAAATATCAAAGATAAAGTCTAAGTTATTTACATGAAAGTTGATAGAAAGCATTGTTGTTCTGTTTAAGACTAGAAAGCAGAACCTTGGCCTAAAGGTTCAACTGTTACAACTGCTCCATTCTTATTAATTTCTGGGACATCAGAGCAAATTCTGGTACAGACATCATTTAATTCCTATAGCATGGAAGACAGGCCTGTACTACCCTAAGTCAGGAGAAGAAGCATTTTCAGCCGTGTTAGTAACATGTGGGCAGGGTTTGCACAACCTGCAAGGGAGAGGATGACATTTGAGGGAGCAGACCATAGTAAAGGTCCTCTCTCCTGTATTTTCTGCCAGAGGTTCCAGAGGTTATTTCTATGCTCTTATGCACAGCAGTTCAGTCCCAGGCAGAGGCTGGGTCTCTGTTTTATACCCATGCCTTGTCAGGTGCACGTCAGGGGAAAACTTCCCTCATTAAATGCCCTCCTCAAAATGTATCCACTTCCCTCTTAAAGTCTGAGTTATCCACAGTGCTCAAACCATGGTACTACACAACAAAACTTAATTTTCTCTTATTTTGGATAGGGTAAAATCAGATTTCCAGAAGTCATATTCAGGGCAATGAGCTAAAGATCTATTTTTCATTGCTTCTCATTTCTCTTTCAAAATAAAAGAGCTTTTTCTGCACGACACCCCCTCTGGATATAGCCCCCTGATGGGCCTTTTAGGAATCTCTCTAATTTGGCAGTGCACAAACTGTGCTCAAACAAATGCACATAGAAGCCATGCTTGTGCTTCTATTGCTGTGCACTCAAGAGGCATCAAGCTTAACAGCCAGGGTTTAAGTTTTTGTCAAAACAGGAAAGCACTGGATGGCAATAGACAGGCAGTTCAGAGCAAGAATAATTCCCAAAACAGAGCCCACTGCCATTACAGCGTTCCATATGTCCGTGGTTTGGGGCATTGTCTCTGCTCCAGTGAGGGAACTTCTCCTGCATGAAAAACAAGCAAGAGGACCCCAGGCTACAGCCTGAAACCCATCACCATGTGAAGGGCAAAGCCCATGGACAAGCAAAAGAAGATAGATTCATCCACAGCTATGTTTCTCTTCTTCCCCTTGGGGTGGGCAGCATGGGGGGTGTTGTATTAAGACTTTAAGGGCTGAGATCAGAAGCTGCTCAGCTTGTTACTGGCAGCATCTCGTTATAAGGGACAGCTGGGTCAAGCTTTGAGTTTGACTGGGAATTTACACAGGCTGTACCCATTTAAGGAAGCAGAGCAGTTTACTGGACCTAAGGAAAAAAAAAATCCACAATATATAGAATTGTTTGGAACTAGCATTTTAAGTGTTTTTGGATTTGGAGTTGTTTTGTTTGTTTTTTAGCTTATAGGTAGTTTCTTGATTGTTTGTCTATTTTTCCCTGTCTCAATTGCCAGCTCTCAGACTATCCTTATATTTCCATTATGTTCCTCTCTGTATATTGATCTGAATGATAGAATGATACCAGAAATCAGCCCTTGAATAAGCAAGAATTCCTCTCTGCTCTGCCCCATTAAGTTGTTTCCCCAATATTGCAGCATTACATCACCTAGTGGGCTGACCTGATCTTGACTTAACACAATGTGACTTGTCACAACAGAAGCCACACATCCCAAGGCAGCCGTGTCAGAAAACATCAGACTTGTAATTTCAGCTCTCCAAAGCCCCATGCAGTCCCCTCGTTGCAGTCACAAAACCACAACATACAATGAACATCTTACAGTGCTTCTTTTGGGATAATTTGTTCCATCTTATTAAAAGGGATTCAGCATCCTTCTAAAACTGCCCTCAAACACTGCAGCTTGTGACAGCGCTCCCAAGACACTTGGGAGTATGAATAAACCAGCATTATTACAGGACCAGAGCATTGCAAAGACAAAAAAAATAATAAGAAAATGAAACTGTGTGATTACTATTATAAATAAAAAGCACAGGCCAAGAAATTCAGTTATATGGGCATTTAAAAAAAGAGACTTTGAATCCCCACAGTCCTCTCATTAAGCCAGCATTTTGCTTTCTTGGCCTGCCTACAAAGATTAAAGTGTCAATAACCTACAAAACACAAATGGACAGAAACAGTAAACCCCAAACCTACCTAGACACTTGTACCCAGAGAAGAATGAACCAGAAAACTGACTGAGGCCCAAGAGCCCCGGGGCAGGTGATGTTCAGAGGGGCCTCGTGGGCACAGGGGCAGCTGCAAATCATCGTGCAGCTGATAGCAATTTAGAGGTAAGTTTGCACCAGAAAATAAGGGTGGAAATGCTTAAAGGAGAAGCTGTTTTCTGGCAGCCTCCAAATGTGCAGTCAATCAGCAAAGCAGACAGCATTCAAGCTGTGTAATCTGATGGCTCCAGGGGAAGCTGTTGAGGGAGCTGGTCACTCCTCTTAGCAGCGTTAATGGGCTCACTGCTGGCCCACATGCCCTGCAGCACGGGCTAGATTTCCATCACTACCCAGGAATTGTGAGAAATATTTTTAGTACATTTCACTGATTTCTGTTAATCCCTGACCCTGTGTAAGGCAGGCATTCACTTTCACTAGCCTGCCTCATCCCTGTACAGCACTAAGCACACAGAACTCCGACCAAGGCAGAGAAGTAACCCAAGTCATTTATTTTTAAATTTTTTTAATCCTAACATACATACACCTCAAGAGCAATACTCAATCGTCTCCATCACATAGGTAGTAGGGAGCTGAGCCAGGGAAGCATCCTCACTGAACTGAGAGTGGGAAACACATCAGAGAATCATATCCAGCACTCATCCGCAGCAACTGGCAACACTTTGTGTTGAAGATCCCAACACATACAAAATAGCCCAGATTTGTAATCTCTTTCCTTACAAAGAGGAGAACAGGGTGCAGTTTTTCAGAACCCCTGTTTCTGGGATTAGCCTGGCTCACTATCCCAGGTGTCTGTCAGTTTGAGGGAGCTCTCCCAGGTGGACAAGTTGTCTCTGGGCAAGCCATTGTGGGTAGGCCAATGTTTCCCCTTCACCATTCACAGAACTATCAGTGCACATAAGCTCAAGCATATTCTGTAGTGGTAACAGGACTGCTGAGGCCTCATCTCCTCTCCAAAATCGTCATTTTAATATAATAACAACAAGAGACAGGCAACCAGGACAACAGAGAGAAAGGGAAACAAATACAGATAACAGACCAAAACAGAAAACCCTGAGGAAAGGTTTTATTTGTGCATCTGCTACGTGATTTCAAGCTTGATCAGAAACTTTCCCAATATTATCATGAGAGGCTTCATAGAGCATCCCTTGATCTTGTGTCTTTTTTCCCCAGAAGTTCTTTTGTATGTATTAAGGCTAATTTTGGCTCTTGGATAGAGATTTGTGACTCTCCCTGAAGGGAACAGACCTTAGCTCTGGATCCAAAAGTAACAGATGCCATCAGTGTGAGTCACAACAGCCACAAAGTTTTTCACAAGCAATCAAAATGCTGAACTAAAAGTCTCCCTCAGTGGAGAGGAGAATATTAATAGCTAAAAATCCAATGGCAATGTTCTCTTGAGTGTTTCACAGCAGGAATTTGCTTCAGTAGGAGTTGTGGAGTTGGCTTCAGATACAAGGGAAGTCTAATTTAAAGTCTGTTATTAAAGTTATAAAGCAACACCACAGGGCACAGAATGAAATGTCATCAGATTAATTTATATTGATTTAAGGGAACTTTGATTTGTCCCTTGCCCTCCCCATCACTCAGCTCACAAAACAACCTGATTCTCTCGCATTCTATTTCCAGCATCTCCCAGGGCATGAACTGTTCGATTTCAGAAGACAAGGAACCCACCACCTTCAGATGTTATCACTTAAGGGCCAGTGTGGTGTTTCTGCAGTCTGCACAGAGTACCAGGCCCACAGAAATGCTGACAGAAGTGGTACCAGACAAAGTGTAAGGACAGGAACATGATGACAGCAGAGAGAAACAGCTGGAGCAGAGAGGAAGACAATGCCAGAGAACGAGGAGGTCGGTGTATGGCTTCTTACTTTTGAGGGGTCCTGTGGGAGATGTTGCAATTGAACCCCTCCCTCTGGCTGTGTCTCCTTCTCTAGCTTCCTTTTTTGATTCCTCTCCATCCAAACATCATCGAAGCTGAAGCATTTATAGAGGGGTTTGGGTCTCTTCCTCCTCCTCTCTGGCATCTCCTTGGCTTTTTCATCTGGAGCAGGGAAGGAGAGCCTGCAGGCTCTGCTCTCCAGGGTGGAGACAGGGCATGGTGGGACCCGGGGAGGCCTCCTTTTGCGATGGGGAACCCATTTCTTACTTGGCCTCTTCCCAGCTGCTGTTTGACATGGCTGTTTAGACTCCTGTTTTACAAACTGCAGGTGAAAACACAGGGTTTGTTGGATGGAAATTTTGTTTGCTTCAAGTCAGTTTGAACAGAAGATGGCAAAGCTCAGTTATTCAGCCACAGAACCATTCAGAAGAAAACACTTAGGAGCACTCCACCCTGAAGCAGCAGCTCTGCTGTCCTTTGAGGGTGCAATGTACACTCCCTGGCCCTGTTCACCCTCATTTTAGATGGCATATCACACTGACATTTCACCAGGATTTAGGTCATTCTGTCTCTAAAATATTGTTTACAAAGACAGATGATGTCTCTGAAAATAGAAAAATGACCTCTTGTCTGTTTCTAGTTTTCCAACTGTACTTCAGTTATACAATGTGAAAAGGCTCCACAGTTACCTGCAGGTCTGATATATTAAGCCCTGTGTTTCCTGATGTGCTCTTTACACTATCTACTTTATTTGCTTGATGCTGGGCCAAGAGTAAGGAATTGCACAGCTTTGCCCTTTGCTCCCATTTGACTGGTTGCACAAAATTACAGTTTTTGTACTAGAACAACTTGAAATCAAGTGTGCCCTTAGGCAACCAGCTACTGCTCCAGGTGGCATCAGTGTGAGAATCAATAATATTTAAGGTAGGAGATAAAAACACTGGGGAATGAGTGAACTCAGGAGTCTCATGACAAAAAAATCCTGACAATAGTATCTGTCCAGTTTCTCATAGATGACTTGAAGAACCCAAATAAAACAACCCTCAAACCATCACAGGTACTTCCTATCTATTTTCAACTAATCAACAATTCTAGGTCAATTCTTCTGTGTCCCCGGTAAGACATGCCACAGTCCAGAAAGAAAAAATTGTGTGAAAAAGGTGTTTTGTGCTTAACCGCACCTTACTGGACAGGAGCAAGGAGAAGAACAAGTGAACTCCAAACATGGGACATTTTAGGACAGTTTGTTCTTGCCTGCTGAGTAACACAATTTATGCAAGTAAAATCGTGCCATGAACAGATTAATTAAACATGTATGAAGGGCCTGGCAGATGGGCAAACTGGTAATGGTTCTGTCTTGCTGTTTGCAGCATAAAATCTTTGCCCTGGATGAAACCTGGGAAATGTCAACCATTAGCAGGCAATGAGAGAGAGGCTGGTGTGTGCTCCAGCAGGCTCAGAAGAGTTGCTTACCTGAGTGGTAGCCAGAGGTGTCCAGGGTGAGCTGATCCAGTGCAGTTTGGCACAGCATTAACACACATAATGCTGACACAGCTATAAAAGTACCTGGCTGGGGAGTAAATACAAATCCCCATCCTGGAGGGCACAATGGGAAGTCAGCTCAAGAGCTTCACTATTACAGATATGTTTTGCACTAACGTCTTTACTCATGTAGAACAGAAAATTACTTTTCTTCAAATTCATCAATAAATTGAATTTTATGATCTCTTTAGGAAGCATCATACATAAGGAAGACCATCCTTAGTGTATAGATGATAATTATTTTGGAAAGATTTAACACTGCAAATATACTTTGCCCAGTGTCTTGTAATTTCAGAGATTCCTGAAAATACAGCTTTGCTTAAAAATACAGGGTGCAATTCTACTTCATTTCATAATGTCATGAAAAGGGAAATAAATAAAGCCCTATCTATTTTAATGGATTAGATGTTGTGTTTTGAAAGCTGGGACATTTGCATTAATTTCTAGGCTCCAGCTGCATTTGTCCAATTTCAAATATCATATTCTACAGCCTCTAGAAGAATCAGGAAAATGAAACTGTTTTTATATGTCTTAGATGCCATTTAAATATTTTATGGTTTTCTTTGAATAATTTAATCTAGCAATCATTTTAAGTAATTATTTATTTGCTCCTAATGCTTACATTATAGCATGTAGACTTGCCTTTTCAAGGCTTTACATGTGCCTCATCTCTACACTCTTTTCTAGATGTTCTTTTGAGCTGTAATTTACAGGTCAATGATTTTATTCATCCTCTGAGAGGCTTCATCGGTTGACAGTGTGTATAGTCCAAGTCTCTTGCTTTTTCCTAGGCTGCAGTCTCTTGTTTGGAATGCAGTGTGCAGTATTAAGTTTGTAGGTTAACCTGGTGCCCATAAAACAAAGATTTCAACTAAAGCAAAGCACAGAAGGGAATAAAGAAAATTCTCTTCCCCTTTCCCCCCTGGAATTCTGATACTACAGCTCTCACTTCTCAAACTGCCACCCAAACACTTCTTTGGATTCCAGACAGCTTTAGAAAAAACCCCAAGCCAATTAACATAAACACTTTCATTTGGGAATATGAGGAGAGGCTGAGAGAGCTGGGTTTATTCAAGCTTTTAAGAGGGCACTAAAGGCAGTGTAAGAGCAGTCACCAACACCTTTATATTTATATGGATGATGGAACCAAGCTCTTCTCAGTAGTGCCAGACAGCACCACAAGACAGTGGCCAGAAATGCAGCTTGGAAAATTCTTGTTGGGCATTAGGAAACAATATTTCTCAAGGCATATGTTTCCCAGAGAGGCAGTGAAACCTTCATCAATGGAGGTTTTCAAGACTTGGCTAGCTAAAGCAGTGGTTCTGCCTATCTTTTTTTGTTTCTATAGAAAAAAGAGGGTATGAAGAAAGGGCAGGATAAGACCATCTTGGAGGGTGTCTTAAAGACTTAATGCAAGCTGAGATGTGAGAGGCAAAAGGCAACAGCAGCAAAAGCTGTGTGAGGGTCATTTGAGTTGAATGCAAGCAGCCCTCAGCTGTTATGAATTGATCAAGCAGTTCCAGATTAATGAACCCTCTGAAAATTGTCTGCTTGGGGTATGCAAAAGTTCATGCACTCTCTCAAGTACCACTTCTGACAATCTGCTCAAAAAAAATTATTCTCCCATTTCTTAATGTCAAAACTCATCAGCAATAATAGTGAAAAAGTAGCATGGTCAAGGCATGTTCTGGGATCTCGGTTACAGCTCAGACTCAGTCACTCTGGGGGTTGTGCTTAGCCACTGAAAGAGACTCCTAAGCTCCCAGCCACTTACAACTTGGGAAATCCTCTCTGGGACTAAAATCCCACTGACGGAGGAAGTCTCTGCTTTTAGAAGTCTCAGCCAATCACAAAATTCCTACTGAAGATCCAATCTGTTCCATGAGATTCAGCCTGTGCAAAGGATTTAATGTGTTACCTTGGTTAGAACAAAATACAACATGAAAGGGAGACCCTGAGCCTGCAGTTTGGGGTTTTTTTTTCTGTTTGTTGTAGAAAAGACAAAAGAGGACTTCTAGTAGCACCAAAAGGTACTTATGGTGATTGCAAAAGACACGTGGTACTTCAAAAGACAGCTACTCATTGTCTAAAGAAAGTGATTTTACTTCTTAAAAAGTGACTGCTAGCCTTAGGTATTGATTTCTTTGTTGCCTTTCACAATGAGAAACTAATATACTCTACACCAGTTACATGGCTCAATTCTACCTTAAGAGGGGTAAAACCCAGCTTAAAACTGGAGATATACACAGGGTGATGGCTGTACAATCTTTAATGGTGTTGTGATTTCTCCATTCCTTTGCATTTTTGTAGCAAATCCTCCCTTTAAGAGCACATCAATTCGTACAGTCTTGAACAGAAACAGAGAGAATGAGTAGTGCTACCTATCTTAGACCAAGAGGAATATTTATGCACTCATCTAACCAATGAGCCATTAAGCCATTGAAGAGTTTCACTGAAATTCCTAAACCATGGTAAAGCAAAAGACTGCAAACCCAACCACTCCCTGATCACTCCCTGACAACAACTCACCTCATCTCGGAGCATGTCACTAATGGAAGAAGCTGTAGTTAAGCTGATCTGGGATTGGCTGCTTATGCCACTGTCATCCCTCTGGAAGTCATCCAACGAGTGTAAGAGACTTCCTCTGGGTTTCAGTGTCTTTGGCCTCTCAGGAGCCTCCAGACTGCTTTCCACTCCAGAGCTGGTCCCAAGAGAGATCATAGAAGCGGCACAAACTCGCCCAGGGTAACGCAAGTTCTTGTGCTGAGAAGTGGATCGTGAACTCTGAGGTTTGGGACTCATGGGCCTACAAGGCATGTCTTTACCATCAGAACTGGAGAGCTGGGGGCATGATGGACTTGACTGACTAAATGCCAACTGCAAGTCAGTGGGGCTAAATGGAGATTTCATCCAGTATTCCTCTAGAGAAGTATTTAAACTGTTGCTCAGAACCTCCTGCTGTTCATCACAGTCTGAACTCTGTGAGTATCTGATACCCAAGTCATGGGACTGTATTCGTCTTCTCCACATACGTGCAGGTGAAGAGACATCAACAGGCTCCACAGAGCTGTCAAAATAGTTGGAGTCTGTTGAGGAGCCATTATCTGTTTCTGTTTTTAAATAAGTGTGTCTATTGGAGCTATACTGTCGCTCTAGTGGTGTTAACACGTGGCCATCAGTTGCATTAAGACTCTCCTGTGTGGATGATAAACTTACTAAGACAGGCCTTTTTAGTCCATCTGCCTCCTTGCTCTTTAGAAAAGCTTTCCAGGCACTCTGGCGAAGTTTGACTTTCTCCTTTTCATTTTTTACTGATGCTTTTGAGCTTTGCTCAGTGTTCTCCTTTTCTGGACATTTGGACTCAAATAAGCTTGAGAGGGATTTGTGCGCCAAGGCCAACCTTGTCCTGAACTTCTTACCCTCAGGGGTTTTGTTTCTTTTGTGTTCATTTTCAGGAATTGATTTTCTAATCCCTGAATGCTCCACAGGTTCAGTGTCATTGTTTTCAGATGAACCTGGAACTTGTCGATCTGCATCTTCCATCAGTATCCGACCAGAGCCAGAGGCCTTTCTCAGGCTCAATCTGTTGAAAAATCCTGCAGGTCTCTCATAAAATAAATCATCATCATCAGAGTACTCAGAGGTGTAGCTTTCCTTCCTGTGGAAGACTAAACCAGATGAACAACTTTTGAAAGACAGTAAACTTGCAGTGTCTTCATCATCTTTCCCAACATCAAGTTCTTCCATCTTTGCCTTGGTGCCAAAGATATTGCTGCTTCCCTGATTTTCCCAGGAGACAGGCTTAGTTTTCCTGAAAGATGTCATTTTTGGGAATACTAAAAACCTGGAAGCTTTCCCACTATACTCATTCCTTGTTGGCTTTTGTACAGCTTTATGAATATTGCTGTTACTGCCCAGGATGTGGGATGGGTTCTCATCCAGTTCCTCGCTGTTGGTGCTGCAGGTACTTACATTGTCCAGGCCCAGCATGAAAGTGCTGTGGGTCTCCCTGTTCAGAGGCTCATCAAAGACATCAGACACATCCAGACTGAGTGCACTGTCTTTGCTGGGGCTAGAGGTGTCTTCTGCAGGAGAGCCCTCCTTTCCTTCCCTAGGAGAGGGTTCTTCACAAATACCTGTTTCTTCCTTTGAGCCCTTACAGCTTTCCTTTCCTCGCCTGCTTACTGCTTGTTCAGAGACCATGCTGGGCCAGTGAAGGCTGACACCAGCACCATCTCCCTGCCACAATCTGCTCATACTGCTGCTCATTTCCAGTGTCACTGCCCTGGTAATATTCAAACCTCCCTCTGTGCTTCGATATGCTTTGAATTCCTCTTCCTTAGACATCTGGTCATTGCTTCTTCCAGGGTTTCTAAAGCCTGACCTTCCAAACTGTTCTCTCCTGAATTCAAAACCCCTCTTTGTTCTGCAGGGCCCTTCCTCAAAGACCATCACACCACTTCTACCCTGTGATTTTACAGTGCTGGGCCCTTCAAGGCTGACACCAGCCCTAGCTCCCTGGCACACACTGCTTACACTGCTGCTGGTTTCCAGTGTCACTGCTCCAGTCACCAGTGGCCTTGCTCTGCAGTGCTCATCCTCAGAGAGCTTCACACCTCTCCCACTGGGGGATTTTTCACATACAAGTGGTTTTTCACATGGATCTGTCTGAATTTCTGCAGGAAGCATATCACTGCCTAGTGGTACAGCAACATTCCTGAATTCCAATTTTGCACTTGCTACAGCAGAATTACTACAGGTGAGCCCTAAGGATGAAACTGCTTCTGTTTTCTCTCTGTTCTCTTCTGAAATTTCTGTTTTTACTTCAGCTGTATCCCTACCAGAAAGTACCTCTGCACTGCCAGGAATGGGGTGGGTGGCCAGAATTTGTTCTTCACAGTTACAGAATCCACTCAGAACTCTCTCTGGCTCACCATGAGCTTTACTGACAGTATGAGGAGACATCAAATCCTTGCTCACTGCATTTCCCAATGTTTCAGCTACCACTTCAGTAGGAAGGTTATCATTCAGTGCTTTGGACTGTAATCCTTTCTCTTCCACAGGGACTATAATTAGGGCTGGCTTTAATTCTGGAGCAGTCATTAAATCCTTTCCCTGCCTTATATAATCTGATCTGAGGGTCCTTTCAACAGCAAAGACACTCTCTTCATCCATTCCTTTATGAGTAGGATGTTCATTTGTTCCTAGCTCTGAGTGGCTCCTCAAGGCACCAGTTTTGCAATTTGTATTTTGCTGCACTGACTCTCCATGCTCTGCCCCTCTGTCACTGCCATCTGGCTGCGTTGCAGTTTCCAGGACTTTCCAACCAAAGTCAAGATCAGAAGAATCATCTGCCCATCTTTCCCCTGCCATAATCTGTGTATCTGACAGCTCAGATTCAAGGCCATTCTCCTTCAAATGGTTGTGCTGTATTCCACTACTGGAAACACAGTTTACAGAGCAATCCCAGTCTCTGCTTTCCACACCAGCAGGAACAGCTGCATGTGAAGCTGCAGGGCTCTCAGTGTCCGATTCCACACCAATATCACATGGGAATCTGCTAGCTTCCAGATCTCCTTCAGCTTTGTACTCATTGTTTTGTGTAAGTTCCTCAGCATTTATGATCCCTGGATCACAATCCAGGGAAGAGGATGTCTCCTTTTGGATTGGATTGTCCTCACAAGCATCACTCCATGTTAAGCTGTCAGCACAAGTACCAGCTGGCTCTGGGCTAAGGCCACACGTCTCTGATTTAGAGTGCAAATAATGATCAATGCACAGGGGAGAGGCTGCTGGCTGGGAAACCTGACACACCTTTGAATCTGTGTCAGTATCAAGAAAAGATTTTTTTATGCCAAACTGGCCCTCTATTTCTATAGCCTTTTCAGAACTTACAGTCACCCTTCCTAAGTTTTTCCAAGTGTATTCAAAATCCAGCTCTTGAAGATGTATTCTGGAGCATGACCATCTAAATTTGTCTGTTGGGTGAATACAGCTTACCACACATTCTGTCTCCCTTTGAGCACTGATGTTTTCAGGTACACTGTGCCATGCTTTACTTTCTGTAATCTCTGACCTTTTTTGTGGTAGCCAAGATTTTGTGTTGAAGCAACTCTGGTAGAAGAGTGAATCTGATGTCAACATGGTCTCTGTACTTCCATGTTTTATCCTTTTACCTGTAGTGTCCTCACTGTCAGCTGAATACCTCCTGCAGCATTTTATACTGGACATAGACTCTAATTCACACTTACAGTCAGATGTCTCAGTGTCACTTTTACAGTTAGGCCCATTTGTTTCAAAATGAAGATTAGGCAAACTACAGCTTGGTGCTGCATCTGACCGGAAGGAAAACTGCTTTACCTCAGGAAAAATCAAACAACTTTCTGAGTTTGCTTTGAAACAAGCAATGCTAAATACTGCAGGGTGTTCCTTCAGTCTTGCAACATCATTTTCTGTTAGTACTGAGTTGGTACAGGACTGCACTTCCCTGCTTTCTAACTGTGCCTTACTCTGCAGTGCTCTTACAGACTTTCTCTTTGCCTGTGATAAAATGCTCTCTTCATAGACTTGGCTCTCTGTGATGGAAATATCACTGGATAACGTTTGCTCTTCATCACCCAATTCTTCACCCTCTAAGTCTGCAAACTGGATGCAAAATCCAGTTTTGCTTGGTGCTTCTTTTATTTTGGAGGACAATTCCAGCTGTATGTGCTGGGTGAACTCTGGTTGCCTGGAGCACTTCAGTTCATGGAAGGTTTCTGCCTTTTCTTTGGGAAGATTACAGCACAGGGGTTTTTTTCCAGTAAACAGGCAGTTTGAATCTGAACAAGCATTCCCAGTTATGTCACTGGAAAGGGATTCTGTGTCTGATGCACTCTCATAAGGCTCAGTTTTTACATCTGACAAAGATCCACTCTGATGTGACACGGTTTCAAAATAATCTTCATCTGTTTCTTGGCTGGATCCACGGACCTCCAGCTCCGTTGTGCTCGGGGTAGAAGAACTCAGATCGTCTTCAAACTCTCCTTCACTGATGTAGTTTTCAACTGGCTGTGGGGTCTGTGAATAAACAAAAAAGAATGATTTAGCAATGATATTCCTCAGCAGCAGGGTGACATGAATTATTAGAAAAGGGACTTCAGAACACAATTAATTCAATACATACTGATGTCTTTGCAAGTTATACTCGGTGTCTTACTTCTTGATGGTCCTGAAGTCTTATTATTTCTTGCTTCTTTTCTTTTTCTTTAATGTTTCTAAATTAACCCCTTTTTTCCATTTTCATATGTAATTATGTAGAGGCCAGAATTTTACTTTTCGCCATATCTTTCATAGCCCATTACCAAAACACTTTTCACATTCAAATACTTCAAATGGAAATCATCCCTTGCCAGTAGATGCAAAAATTCCAATGAAAACATCTTCAGATCTGTGAAAAACCTGGGAAGTAATTACTAGTGTCTGCATTACAGAAATGTGGCATAAATATATACAGAATAACTGCACTTAGGTAATCAGGTATTACCTGTACCAAAACCTGAACCAAAGGTGAAAAAGCTCTTAAATCTCATTTTCCGGAAGGCTTACACCAGGAGCACTAAGTGGATCAGTTATCAGAGCACACCCCAATCATTGGCTCTGAGCAGAAGGATTAAAACCACACTGTCACTATTGGGAAATGTTTTTGTCACAGATAGCTGACCCTGGGAGAGCCTCAGTCTTCTTTTCTTCAACAGAACTCTGGACATTTCTCAACTTTGAAGCAGAAAATGAAGTCACAGCAAAGTATCTTCAAAGTTTCCTGAGGTAAAAATAGTGCTTGTTGTCTGTCAGCTTCAGGTTCAGCTATTGTCAGAAGTTCTACAATGCACCCAACTGAGATACTTGGCTGATTTCAGCTTCAGTCCCTTCGTATCTAGAATGAGTTGCATCATAAATATAGATGGCAGCCTTTAACCCTAATGCTGGGTGCCTCTTTACCCAGGTTTGGTGACAGTCCTCACAAGAATGATTGGTATATTTTAAAGTCTGAAAACTGAGATAATGAACAATGAAAGACTTTTCTAAAAAAAAATAAAAATTAAAAAAAAGCAAACCAAACCAAACAAAAAAACACCACAAGTGAATGGCATCCATCTAACTAGAACACAGGATCCTTTAGACTGAGCTGCATGTCACATTCACCAGGGTGCTTTGTCACAGAGGAAGTGTGAGTCCTCATACGGGAAGAAAAATTGCAAATCACATAAAAAACCTGTCACAGAGTTTCCGATTTTAGACTCCAAAACATAGCATGTAAATTGGAAAAAGAAAGACACAAGAGTTATTTCCCCAAATGAGAATTTCTCAATAAGAATTTTCTCTTGGCAGAAGAAGGAAAATAGAAATTGAATGGAGGAGGCAAGGGGGAGAATTCAGTACTTCAAAACAAGTCCAAAAATCACTTCTGAACCTGATCAAATTGCACTGCAGTGGCAACACAAGTCACATAACCAGCAGAGCAATGTGTTCTTCCCTGTGTGCAATCAGTGACACATGTAATTGAGGTCCTGCAATAAATGCCAGTGTCCCCAGGACAGGAGTGACCAGCAGTGAGGTGCTCAGAGCAGCACTTCACAGTGTGAGCAGTTGGCTCACACAGCAGTGAGTGCAGCAGCAGCTGCTCAGCAGCACCAGCTCTGCCTCCTCAACACTCTTCTGAACACAAACTTACAGATGGCAAGAAACTAAGATAAAAACTATTCAGGCAAGTAGAAGCAAAGTAATGAAGATGCCCAACTGTACTCAAGGATAATTATGAATTAAACTACAAAAATATTAGGGCAAAAATCTCTTGTGCTCCATTTATAATTCCAAACATAGCTATGTCAGGATATTCATGCTGTGACCCCTCTGAAATTCATTATTTTTAATGGGTACAATACAAAATTATGCATTTAAAGCAGAAACAAAAGCCCCACAATTGCTTCCACAACTTGTGGGAAATAAGGAAACAACTTCTAGGTATGAAGGGCACCAAGTAATGCCAACCAGCAGTCTCGCACTGAGCCCAGGACTGAACACAAGCCCCAGTGCTGCTGGGGATGAGAGCCAGGGCCAGGTCTGCCACATGGAGCCTGGGATGGAGCTCCCCTGAGGAGCAAGAGGATGTGGAAATTTTGGTTTCCACCAGTCTAGCCAGGTCCTCTGCCTAAGGGAGAGGCCTAGAGCTCACCTTTGGTAAATCTGACATCATGACCCACTGAACTTCCCTAATGCCCAGGGAAGAAATCCCTACAGAGCCAGGAACCTGCATTTTGTACCTTCTGCAGGTCTCTCAGTGCCTGTGGAAGCCCAGACTGTGCTCTGACCATGTGCTCTGTCACATGTGGTTTTATTTTCTCCCAACCTGTACTGGCTGTATTTTGTTAGGGTTTCTGGGACTACTTCTCATGGTGTTTTACTGGGATTTTTCTGTAGAAATTGAGTTTAAAGGACTCAGTCAGAGCAGAAGGGGAGGTTTACAAGGGGTTCTGGCATAGCCTTGTGCTCCCAACACAATCACATGGGAATATTTGTGCAGCACTGATCCTCAGCAAGGCTGCCCATTAGATAACAGCCCTTGTGCCTTTCATTTGCATGAGATTACACTGAGAATTTCAAAAGACCATAATTTCAAATTATGGCTCTTTCTTGGGAAGAGTTCCTAAAAAAACCCTCATCACCCATGGACAGGGTTGTTTTTTACACATCTCTTCAATCTCAGAGCAGATAAACATTTAGAAGACAAGGGCCTGGAACAAATGTGAAAATGAGTACTGAAATAAGGCTTTCACACTTCACAAACAACACACAAAACACAGCAAAGCCCCCCTGACTGCTTTTCTCTTGCATGTCTCTTAACATCTCTGAAACGTGCCAAGAAAACAGGATGAAATTGAAGTTACAGATCTGTCTTGCTGTTATTACATGTAGCCATATATAATCATGTCAAACTAAAGTCACCAGAAAAATAAACTTTGTGACTTTGATGTGTGAAGACTTTATCTCCATAAAATAAGATACCTCCCATCCAGGCTAGCCTCATATGTGGCATTTGCTCCCATGGGCTAAGTCACTCTTGTCTTCTAAATATTTTTCGTTTGGTGGGAAAGTCAGGTATCATTTTTTCTCTAGATTTGATATTTGAATAATTTTCTCACACAATATTATATTACAGCAATAGTGAGTTTCTCAAATATTGTGTCTCCCTAATTTTCTCTAACACCGGAGCGGTTAAACAGAAAATTGTTTTACTTCAATTAGTCTTTCAATGAAGGATTTTATCCTTAATTTTCACAACCACAAAAAGGCTCTGACCATTTAGATGGCTTTTGTTTTTACTTTGGATGCAAGTTCCCTAAGCAAGTCTGACTTGCTTTCCCACTAACTTGGACCTGAGCCTAGTTATCACCTCATTTCCAGCTCAAAGAGCATCAGAACAGTTTTTCCCTGAAGTCAAGACAACATGAAAGCATTTCAGTTGATATTTCACAGGATCCAGACAATTGTTTTCTCCACAGGTAATGGTAACAACTCTTGAGTTGCTATCAATATACATTTCATAAATCTGCATTCACACCTTGTTTGACTGAAAGGCACAGCCCAGTGTCTTTGATTTGCAATGAAATGAGACTAAAATGCAGTTCCATTAACAGGTGAGAGCAAGCCAGTTGTCCTGTGTGCTCAGTGCTTGCACATCAGGGAAAAGAAATGTGCAATTCCCAGGGCAGGGAGGAGGGAATCATTTACAGGAGATCTCATCCTGCAGAGTGCTGTGTGCTCTGAACTCTAACACTTAAAAAGCAGGAAAGGAAGGATACACAAAACTAGTGAATGAAAGTGTTCCCTTCACTGCAATGTAAGATTGCTAACACAGCTGCTTCAGGTTTCAGCGTGCAATTCCCAGGGCAGGGAGGAGGGGATAATTTACAGGAGGTCTCATCCTGCAGAGTGCCGTGTGCTCTGAACTCTTAACACTTAAAAAGCAGGAAAGGAAGGATACACAAAACTAGTGAATGAAAGTGTTCCCTTCACTGCAATGTAAGATTGCTAACACAGCTGCTTCAGGTTTCAGCTGTAATGTTGTGTAGGATCACTTGTATTGGTTTCACTTGTCATGTATGTTTGAAAAATAAGCTGAAAGGAACTACTGAAATGACTGAGTGTCTGGAACTCCTCCTTGGCTTCCCAGGGATCCTGAATCAGTTAAATTCTTAACTTTCCATGATATCTAAATGATATCTAAATGTTGGCATGAAACTCATCCAGCCTCTGTGTAATGATAGCTGTGAAAAGCTGAGATTTTTCTACAGCCATGCAAGGACTTAGGTGGCTTGGGGTTTGACAATGCTGGTCATGGAACAGTTATTTATTGCCATAATGGATATTCTGAGCTGAGGGAACAGAGGAAAAAAACATAGCGTGCTCAGTACCAGGACAGAAATCTCATTTGAAATACCTGGTTTCTCCTTTTTGTGACTTTGATACACCTCTCTTCTGAAAGGGACAGTCTTGGAGAGAGAGGGAGGAGTTTGGCCACAGGGCCCTGGGTCTCTCCAGCTGGGCTGGCAAAGGTTGCCCAAGATAATGTTACTTCTAGGATGTTCCTTGGATGTTAACCAGGTTGGAAATGCCTCAAAAGATCACCAAGCCTTTCCAGAAGAACAGCCACAGAAATGGCTTTTCATGAATTAAATTATGTTCTTGGATTTAAAGCAAACACACACAAAAAGTGCTCCCTTCTCACGAAGTTTTGTCCCAGAGGTCAGAAGCGGTTCCTGGCAGTGATGGAACTGCTGTCCCAAGGAACCAGCCACACCACCTCAGTCACCACAGGGCTATAACAAAAATGCCCTTGACACATATTTGGGGAAGAGATACAGACCCAGAATTAATGGCCTCCACTTACCTACACTTTTTCAGGCTTAAGTAAATGCAAAGCCTGTCCAGAAATCCTTAAAGCAAACTGGATGCCAGTCAGGGGTTGGATTATACATGGTGTAAAGAGACACAGGCCTACCTGAGGGGAACTTTGTGTG